GAGAGCCTGAAGAAATGGAAGAGGGGAGAAATAAAAACAAGAGGAAGGGATGGAGGGCAGGGAGGATAAATAGATTGCTCACAGGCTGAGGGAGCTGTGTGTGGGGCCTGGTGACGGGCTCTCAGGACCCCTGGCCTTTCTCTGCTCTCTGGCCCTGAGTGAAAATAAGACACATTACATTATTTGCTTGTATATTTGTAGGAGTACATGAACTGAAGGACATACAGTATATGAGAATTGGATGTAGCCATCTGGTTGCCAAGTACCCAAGAATAGAGGAGAAGAGGCTACACTGGTTAGCAAGAAACCCTAATAACTCTTTTCTAAAAAAAAAAAAGTCTACATCATTATTGAGTAAGCAGCTAGTAATTTAACATTTTAATAATTTATAAGCCTAGGATTTTACAAATTTGCCAAAGAAATCTATATATAAATTCAGCAAAAAAAAGTAAGGTTACATTTGTAAGAATGACAATCCTCTTGTTGTTCTGGATATTTTCAGAGATGAACTAGAAACATAGAGAAGACATTTTTGTTTCCCTGTTATTTCTGTTATTTTTGTCAGTGGTACCTCTACATTTATGCAGAGCCCCAATGTTATGACTACCAATGCAAATGGGACCCTATTTTGCAACCAAATGACTACTATGTGTTTTCATACAGTGTAATTGTCATACTAAGCAGCATGATCTATATTACAGAAATCCTCTGTTCAGCACCTAAACTGAATTTTCTTATAGTTTCCCCAACCTTTATGATGCAAAAAAGGAGACTGTCAGAAAAAGCAAGACATTATCGCCATTTAGTGAAGCTAATCAGAACATGCCCCCAGGAAGACTGTGTTGAAAAATCACTTCTATATCCATCCATTAGTCATGCACAAGTACCAGTGTCATTCAGCAGTCCTTGGAGAAGAAGAGAGATAGAGGGTGAGAAGGGTAAGGAGGAGGTCAAAAGAGAAAGAGAGAGAGAGAGAAGGATAATAATCCCTGACCTCCTCTCCCACTCTCTCAGCTGACATGCAAACAGGCATCAGCCACTGGGAGAGAGAGAGAGAGAGGGAGAGAGGGAGAGAGAGAAAGAGAGAGAGAGAAGACTCACCCGTTTTAGAGGCCTATGGTCCATCAAGGGGCTTCATATAAACAGTAAAACACATCACCTATTAGCACCAACGTAGTGGCCACACATTTTACAGTGGGCTATGTGTGTGCTTCATAATGGATGATAACCACCTTAGACTGTATATAGAAAATGGGTGTAGCAATTTTAGGTCTGAAAAATTGTTACACGGTAAAACCCCAAAAAGAAAAAGCTAGAAATTCAGTTCTAGTTTTGAAAGAATAAATGTAGGTTTATTAGAAACTAGGCTTCTGTTGACAGCCTTTTACAAATGCAGACAAGTTTCATTTTTCTACAGACATTGATTCATTGAGTTACTGTACTTCTAAAACCAAAACAGAAAATCTGTTCCTATTTTGTGGTTTTACTAGTGTCTAGCTCCATTTCCAACATACAGTCTATGTTGAGCAGTTGTATTTGAGAGTGAGTGTCCATTTTTTATGCCTCACCTGTGGCGGCACCGGAGCAGGAATCTCAGGATCTTGCGAGCAGCCTGGTTCTGTTTTTTAGTTAGGAGGCTGTTGTACAGAAACAAGTAAACAGTGTAAAAAAATCTTGTTTCTTGTCATACACAGTCCCAGTGTGTACGTGTGTGTGTGTTTGCATATAAATGACCTGAGGGAGTGTCTGTAAGAGCGGTAGTATTGCTGGATGAGGACGGCTGCCCTACGACTCTGTTGGAACTTCCTCTGCTCATGGAAACTCCGGAAACGACTCTGAATCAGGATGGCTGCCAGGGTCATCCTCTTATAAAGTGCATACTGAGAGAAGACAGGGGTGATATAGTTAGAAATCACTGAACAAATAATTACAATCGAATCATTAAACCAAAAGTATTTAATGTACTTTTGCCTGATAAATACTTGTTCAAGTAAATCAGAATATAAACACTTTGAACTTTACTTGGATTTTTGGAGATTGGTTTTGAGTATGTATCACTACTAATTAAAAAAAAAAAGCCAAGCATAAGCAAATCACAGTCACGAGTCACGAACCATACATTGAGCCTCACCTGTTTATATCTCTTATAGCAGCGTTGAATTACAGCTGCGATCTCTTTGCGTTGTTCCTGAATGGGACCCTGTAATGAATCACATGAGTGGTTCATACAACATCATAAATGATAAATGGTTCACTATCATTTTAAAAAGGACCAGTGGAGTAGGATTAGTGGCATCTAGTGGTAGAGGGTCATATTGCAGATATTGCACTTTATTAAAGTGGACACAGTTGTGTACAATGCCAAACTTTTAAAATGTTTCAATTATTTTATTTATAAAATGAAAAATCATGAAACTATTTATATTTTTTCCACCAACATTTTTGAAACCTACATTTACTTTGTAAAAGTAAAACCACAACAGCTTTGTTTTTTAATCCCCTGGTGAAAAGTGTCAATGTTTGTTATGGGAGTGGAGCACATGTTTACCTTATGTCTTCTGAGGGAGTGCAGAGCATGCCTGATGATCTCATACAGCTCTGCCTGCTCTCCTTCAGTCATGGCTAGACAAGACGAGTCACTCTTCAACCTGTCCTCTTTTGTAGCTGCACAGGGGAAGGAGCTCCAGTCGAAGGGGGAGGATGGGGCTTGCTTAGCCTGAGGACTCTGCTGATCCTCAGGCCCTGAGAGAGAGTTTGGTCTGGGGCTGGGAGTCTGGGACTTGCAGCTCAGAAACCTGGAGAGGATAGGATAAGAGTGAAATAAGATAAAATATAATATAAATTCTATCTGTTAAACAAAAGTGTCCAGTTTCTCTCACCTTTCGACCTCGGTGAGGTAACCAGAGAGTAACCTGACATTGCTGTTCATCCACGCCTTCTCACTCTCCGTTTCAGGCTCCACGACCTCCTGTTTGAGCCTCACAGCTGAAGTCTCCACGATGTGATCAGCTAACATTGAAATATCCATCTGAAACACACACAGGGCAGGTGTTAGCAACACAAGCTGCCCTGTCATTTACCATCATGTCTACAATAAAAACAAACCTTGGTGTATTTAATGTGTTTACATGTATCCTGTATATTTTAAGCTTATCAGTGCGTTTTGGTTTTTGCATCTTTGTATCTTCAGCTCACGTGCCTCCATTCTTCAGTAACAGTTATATGGGATTACACTGGCCCTTCTATCAGATTTCAATCTATCATAAAGTATAGGACGCATAGGTCAAACAGGATGGGACGTATACGATCACTGGTCTGTTTGCCTATAAGATTTCCAGGGGAAAAAGCAAAAGTTTTTTCATTGAAATCCATTTTTTAATTTGTTCCCATAGCTGCTACACTAAGTAGTACCAAAAACTTTAAATCTGTATCGTTTGGCTCTGAGGTTCATGGTGTAAAAATGGTGGCATAGTAAGGGTCACCAAGGGCGATTTGGCGTGGGAGCTCTCCATTTCTGTTTGTGTCAACATTTATTTTGTGTGTTTCTGCTTGTGTGACACTGAATAAAAAGACAGCACTAACACACCTGCACCACGATGACAAATTTAATGTTGACAACATAAGACACATAAATAAATGGAGGAATAAATGACATGGAAAAATTTCAATCTTCCCCCAATATCCCTCTGCTCTGTACGCTCTTTTGATTTTAGCAGCTTTGGTCCCTGCCCGGGGACAGCGTATTGAGATGTATGATAATTATGCTATTTGTACAATAGCATAATTATCATTATTATGCATTTTTACCCTCTTCTTTACAATCAATACCTTCCCAAATCCAATAACAATAATTTGACCCCATTATTATGGGTGACTTAATTAACATAAAGACGACCACTGATTTCCAAGTAGCTCAGTTTTTTTCAGTACTGATGGGCAAAGTTCCACTTTAATATTATCCTGGTAATAACTTGTATGTATACTAGTGCAATATTTTTTTTCTTTGGCCTTTTAAAGGTATTTGCAGGTATAAATTTCAAAATATTTAAAATCACTGAATGTCATTTTAACTGAGCCAAATAAATGAAGGTTAAGTCACTTTACTAAAATATAGGGTTTACTTTAAGTTGCATGTAGAGAAAGTACGTATACCAACCTTTCTGGTGAGTGGATTTGTTTATTTTTAAATCCCAGAAGTGGGCCATGTACAAAGTGAGCTGAATACATTTTTTTACATACACAACAGACACTTCCTAATATGAAACCGGTGTAGACTTTCCCTAACCATCGCCTCCCCCTACCTGCAAGTCTTCACTGTTATCCTGATAGGTCAGCAGCTCTGTCTCCTCTCCCCTGTCTGACAGCACTCTTTGGCGCAGGTGACTGGCCAGCCGTTCTTTTCCTAAAACCCTCCTGGCCAGACTACATTGCCCAAGGGTCTGTCTCAGACTCCACCTGTTGCCTTCTCCAGACTCCCCGATCCTGGCCTGCAGGTGGGAGAATGGGGAGTTGGGGAGCTGAGGTCGGTTTGGGCCCATGCTGGCAGGAGGTGTGTTCTGACAGCTGAGGTTTGAGGGTTGAGTTTGAAGGGTGTAGGTGCTGGACAGAACAGAACAGTGAGAGTTTGGACTTGAGGGTGTGTTGAGGAGGGAGTTGAGGATCTTTGTTTTGGGTATTGAGTTAGCTAGCTGTTGCTGGGAATCAGGGCTGGATTTGAGTCGCTTGGCTGGGGGTGGACCGCCTTGTTCTCCCTGGTTGCCCTGTGAGGCTCTCAGTCCTGTTTGGTTCCAGCCCTGGCTTTGGTTGTCTGGCTGGTTTTCAGTCCTATCTCTTCTCAACTCTGAAGGACAAAAGGACAGTAATGTTTCCCACAACACATACAGTAACACAATTACACCAAACATTCACATATTTTTATGAACAACATAATGATCAACTTTCCAACCTGAGTTACGGGTTGGGGAGGGGCTGTTGCTTATTCCGCTCATCCGTGACTCCCCCCTCCACCTGTCCATCCAAGTGTCTGCAGGCTGGCCCTGAGCTTGAGGAGTCTGTTGCATCTGCTCTAAGAGGTCAGCCAATCGAGTGTGGCCTCTTGACCGAGCAATGTTGAGCGGCAAGCGTCCTAAAGAATCAGGAATAGATAGAGCTCTGGGATCCCACTGATAGAGCACCAGTGCTGCCTCGGTGTGGCCCAGAGCACAAGCCCACATCTAGAGAGGGGTCAGAAAACACACACACAGACAGATTAGCGTACAGCGCGGAAGATAAACACTGTGAATTCAGTCATATAACATCACTCATTTACCAGTGGAGTGCAGGAGAAGTGGTCTACATTTAGAGGGTCCACTTCCAGCTCCAGGTCAATGGAGTCAGCATGCTTTGTGCTGCAGTGCAAGAAAGAGAATTTAATTGGCCTGAGCTGCACATTCATCCACTGTCATGTCATGTTGTCAGAACCGTATGTTGCTCACCGCCAGCGAATGAGTGTCTGAATGAGCCCCGCGTAGCCCTGAGCTGCAGCCAGATGTAGTAAGGTCATACCTCTGGAGTTCTTACTGTGCACAAGCTGATTAGAGGAAGCCCAGCATGGCTGAGACATTATCTTCTCACACACCACCACCACACGGCCCTCGAATGAACCCTGGTCAGGAGAAATCTGCAGAAGTGGAGAGTGGAAGGACATGCATGATGTCATTTTTTTCATTATCCCGGATGAGGATGTCTGTTTTTAGTGGAGGCGATCTGGGCTAAGCATCTTCAACAGTACCAGGAACAAATAGTGCTGGTAAAAGTGCATGTTTAATCAATAATAATATTTATTAAAATAATAACAAAGTTTATTTAATTTCAATTTCAAGTTTTTCATCCTGAAGTTTTTAAAAATGTATTTACACTCGCATCATACAATGAGGATTTCAAAGGGGTACTTTGCACCCCCTGCAGGTCAGATTGAACAGTAGCCACCATAGAAGCCACTGTTCAATTAACCAAAAAGTTAACTGTGATTTTTTTTTTTCTGCAGGGTAAAAAGATACAGGTAAGTGGCCAAACAACAGATTTTACTTATCATTTTTGGAAGTATACTTAAATTTCTGGTAATTGTTGCTTTTACTAAATTAAATAAATATATTTTATTTTTTAGACACATTTATGTAATTTAATAAATATAAAATGAGTTTTGATTAATGTCTGTCTTGAATGAAGTCCTACTAAGAAACATATTTATTCATAGTTTATTTTATGTTATGTGTTATTAAATGTAAATAAATATTTCACCCCATCTACATCACTTCATTCTTACTTGAGACTGCTGATCAGTGGCCCCTCCTCCTCCTCCTCCTCCACTCTCCACTCCTCCACCCTGGGTTGCCATGGTTTCTGAGCCAGGGTTCTGATTGGAAATCTCAGCCATCCTCTGTTCCATTTGCTCTAGACGCTCCAAGATGGACATTCTGAACTGTGTGTCTAGGGATATGAAGGAGATGATTTCACATGTTATGTTGTCAAAGCTTATAAAGAAATTCTCTTCTCTTTGAGAAGAGTTAAAAAAAAACAGGACCAGAAAATCCCCTCATTATCGAGAGAAAAACATTATATTCTATTGTAAAATAAAGTATAACACGACATAAAAACGTGTGTGATGCACTCTCAATGCCATGCTTTTGCATTAATGTGACCCTTTGTTTAACAGACGCTGCTGCAGTTTCGCTGCAGTGCACAATATGTCATTCCACCTGCTGCGCTCTTACTCAGTTTCTCTATTTTTCCTGCTATCATTTCACAGCTGTTTTTCCCTCTCTGCAGTCTGCAGTGAACAAAATAGGCTAAGAGGTGAACGTCACAGTGACACCAAATCTTAGGCTCCTCCCACTCATCTTCTTTCACCAATCATTTCCAGAGGTTGGGTTTCTGAGTAATGCTGCTCATCTGAGCACAAAGCAAGTCTACCATTATAGCTGCTCAAAACAAAAGAACAGTTACTGTCAGCGAAGTGTGAACAACAACAACAACAACAACAGTGAAGTGTGAACAACAACAACAACAACAACAACCACAAATTACTGTATGAGATACCCCCCCCCCACCCCCGACCCCCCCAAAGAAAAAAGTTCTCAAGTTTAAACAAAGCGTTTCGGAGTTTAATATTTTGTATACAAGTAACAATAAGTTTTTGTTCCACCCTCAGGTTTTCTGTCAATTGAGTTTTCTGAGGCTAGATTTGCATTGATAATAATAGCTGATAAGCTAAAGCTAATAATCAACTCTTTTCTGCTCGCTTTGTCAACACTAACCTTGGGTTTCTGCTTAATCTACCATTAGCTATATCTACAACCATATAACACACACACATAAACACACACACACACATATATTCAATGTTAAATGGTATTCAACAGCTGAGTAGAAAAATGTGGGAACCTCCAGTTTAGTTGAGAAACTTTTGTAGTAAAGCGTGAATATTTGAACTCTGAACAAATCAAAGCATGTCCATAAGGTGGTCAACAACATGCCTGTGCCTAACACAGTGTCTGTTGATACAGACTGATTCTCTACAGGATCAACATCAGCATCAGTCAGGATCCTTTGTTGTTATGGAGACCAATGGCGCTGTCCGCTCCCGCCTGGTGCTGGAACCGAAAAAACTCCCTTAAATGTGACTGTGAGCCAACGGGGAGTTAAAATTAAACCAAGCCAAACATAAACGGACCATCAATGTCCCACTTGGTTAAAAAAAGAACAGGCAGACTTGTAGCTTTCCCCTCCTATTGTCTGAACCAAAGATTCTTGGCGCCACATGTTTGTTAAATACTTGGGACCGAATTCTACAATTGCAAAAGTAACATTCGTGCCGTGAGTCACAGACATAAACAGGCATGCGTTTCTGTATCTAACTAGGCTCCGACAGGACCGTGGAAGAAGAAAACCTCAACAACAAAGGACAGAGATGCACAGAGAAGGAGCGTTTCTTTAAATTTAGAATCAAATAAGCTACGAACCCAAAAAGAGCGAATCCCCCTCTTTTTTTCGGCTGCGTTTCTTTGTTCCCGTTTCTGCTCCACGCCGTTAGTTAGGAGCGTGTGCGACTCATGCAATTCTACAGCGAGCGAGCAAAACAAAACTCTGAACGGACGAGTTGCAGAGAAACAGAGGGAGAGAGAGAGGGGGAAGAGAGGGAGAGAGATGGAGGGAGAGAGAGAGAGAGAGAGAGAGAGAGAGTTTGGATGGAGGGGACTCTACCACCACGTTGTCTTTAAGACTGGGAGCTGCATCGCTTCAAATCCGCCCGCCAGACTCTGAGCTGCAGGTGGCTCGCTCGTCATCGTCACAACAACAGAGCCGCACACATTAAAATAAACACTGCGCCAACATGTTTGATCCGAAATATAAATCTTCCTGAGTTTTTGTTTGTTTGTTTGTGTTTTGTTTACTTTGGGGGTAAAAACAAAAGACCTGTTCCAAAAAAATAAAAAAATACAAAATGCGCAGAACGCACATCCAGATCTCGATGCCTTAACGTCCACAGTCCACTCCACAAGTGTTGGACAACGTTTTTGGACTCTCAGTTTATGTCTGTTGAACGGCAGTGTCTTTGCCCTTCACTCCTGCAAACAGCCATCCTACTGCAGCTACTGCTGCTGCTGCTGCTGCTGCTGTGACCGTGCAGCCGCATTGCCGCATTGCGCAACGCACAGATAGAGGGGGTGAAGTGAAACAAGCAGGACATGCCTCAAACACTGAGGAGACCCGTGTGTTCCTCCGCCGCAACTGCACTATGAACACAGACACCCATAAAATGCGGTGCAGACAAACTGAACAGTAGAGGCCACGATTATTTCAACCGCCCGGAAATGTCATTCTTTAATGTAGTTTCAAGTGCGTTTACACAGAGCAAGAAAGTTCCACATTTAAATTCAAACACATAAACATACACACAAACCTTACCTACAGAATGATAACAATAATAAAAAACACACCAAACAACTAATCCAGGCTGAGGAAGTGAAAACACGCGCACACGCACACACATATATCCTCTACATAGTCTCGATTTATTTCTACAAACACTCATGGAAGCAGTGTTTCTTCCTAATAGAATTCTAGGGGAGGTCATAACCTGCTTCCCTGCCTTGTCTTCAAACTGAAATCTTTCAATTGTTCTTTCCGTTCTGGGAAAAAACAATAAAAACCTGTTGCTAATCTCTCAATAATTTTGACTGGTTTGTTAAATATGTAATGCTCTTTTTTTTTCAGATCTAAAAATGTATCATGTTTGAGGGCAAAAGATGTTAATAATAGAACTGGCCAAAACCGTTTGAGATTTTTACAAGTTGAGCAACTCATAGTTTCTCTCACATATCAGAAAGTCTGACTGATAGAACTGGCCAATACCGTTTGAGATTTCTCTCACATATCAGAAAGTCTGACTCTGTGAGCAGGTTTAAATCTCAACTCTGTTTTTCATGCTATTTCTGTTTCTAATTTATATAATTAAATAATTAAGTCCTAAAATTAATGATTAATTATGAATATTATTATAATAAGTATTAAAATATAATAGTAAGAACAATAATAATAATAATAATAAAGTATTCATCCTGATCAGTTGAATTTATAAAACCCAACAAGCTGTGATAAAAGTAATACCCTCTTTTAACAACTCTCCAAATTTGTCTTTGTCAAACTCTGTTTAGCTGTCACTCATAACACTATAATGGCATCATCACAAACAAAAGATATTTTTGATGGTCACAAAACAACAGAAGGATCAACAAGTTATCATAACATTCCCCACGCACAATATAAAACTTCACTGAAAGGAAACGGAAGACACAGACAGCAGGGCAGTCATGTTGATGTGACGAGACAAAAAGTCTATCTTGTAGGACAAACATGCGAGACAAAGACCTATAGAACCCAGTCCAAATATGGAGACAGGAGATGTCAAGGTCCTCAGATGTTTTTGTTTTATATTCTCACTTTTTTTTGTGTGTGAAGGGAACTAAAGACTTTAAGGTCCATGCAATAGGGAGCTGGAGGAGCTGGAGAGATATTCTTTTCTAATAAGTTTGTATCATACTTGTTAGTAAAGGCATTTAGAAATGAACTATATTAACATCTAAGTAATTTAATAATCATCACAACACAAAAATATAAAGGTAAACTGAATAGAACATAAGTGTCCATATTATTAGGACATGGTAAAAAAAGGAAAGAAATATCCTTCTAGGAAAAAAACAACAACTTAAAGAGCCACTAGTTTATTAGGCTTTCAGAGTAAAGGATAAAAAACTCTACTTTGTTTCTCACAGACTGCAGTTCTCGTCTTTGTGGTGGGGGAACAGAACAATGGGATATAAATCTTGAAGTAGTTGTTTTTAATTAAAGCTACACCTGTAAACCATCTAACCATTCACACTGGACTCTGGAGACCATCTTTCTTTTCTTCACCGCCGAACCCTGCATCATGCACTCCATATGCACACAGCCCGCCCCGGCGCTGTGCAGATAAACTATGTGCAGCCAAACATCCAACAAACACAGGCACTCATTCCTCATTCCATGACAAATGAAGGTGCTCGGAACAAAACTAACAAAGACAAATATTCAAAGCCCTCGTGCGGGGTTCTCTCATGTGTAGTGCAAAAACAGACGACAGGATGTATAAATGTTGGACAAGTCGTTTATAATTAAAGGAACACTTTGACAAAGTGGAGAGGAATGAAAATTCTGGGAGGTATAATGTGTCTTCTTTTTTGAGGAGGAACTATTTACTCAATGTATGTAATGTATACACAAAACATGAAACAAAATATATATTTTATAATGTTTTAAAAATGGTATTTGGTTTTGTGTTATTAATTAACTTTCCTCTCTTAAGAAAAATCCAATGTAAGAAATTTGCAATAAAATGACTTAGATTTTAAGAACATTTGCAGTATGTACTCAATGTACTCAATCTTTTTTTTTTACACCAAAAACCAAATAAAACCAAAAACAAAACAGTATCTGAAAATTGAATTTCTTTCTGACATTTAGACCATGTTTAATGTTTTTAGTGCATGATCAAACCTCTACAATGTTAAAACGCTCAAGAAAATGAATGAAGAGGCTGCTGAGGTTCGTAGCTTGTGCAGTTTTTGTGGTTGTCTGTCTGTGTTTATGCTCGAGCCCTGACAAGGCACAAAATAAAACCAATTAGCCTGTCTGTATCTGCAGAAATATCACAGCACTGATATATATGATGCCGCAGACCAAACCTTTCTGCCTGATAGGCCAGCCAGCAGAAAAGAAAAATAATTCAACCGGTTAAATCAGAGTGAATCAAGAGCCAGGCAATTAACGAGCAGAGAAATACACAATCAACATGTAGCACACATACGCAGCTATTCTCAGAGTGAATCAAGAGCCAGGGAATTAACGAGCAGAGAAATACACAATTAACATGTAGCACACATACGCAGCTATTCCTCCATTTACCCACTCTGTGTGCTGGGAGAAAACCATCATTTTTTACATCACAACACACAGGAACCCAGAGCTCTTTTAGGAAGTGAGTTAAAACCTTTTTTTTTTTTCAAACGGCGTTGGTGTTTGAAATCCTTTGTTTAGAGAAAATGGGTGTCAGAAATGTTGTAAATGTGCAAAAGAACAGCAGCAGCAGACAATCAACTACACACACACACCGAGACAACTGAAGTAGCCCCTGTGAAGCACACACACTTTGTTTGAACAATATGAACTATAGCATTTCTGAACTTATGACTTAACTAACAGAGTGTGGCTTCCAAAGTGTGGGGCGCACCCCTTTATCTAGATCACATTAAAATAATTACAATTTCTATTGTCAATTTTGTATTTGTGTATGCTAAACAGTTTGTTGACATGAATGTGTTTCATATAAAGTTTATTGGATTTTTGCTAGGGGCTCGAAAAACGTTCCTTTCCGTAGTCCTATCTAAAAACAGGGGGCTTTAACCGAAAGTTTGGAAAGTTTGAGGAAGATTGGCATTTATTAAACAACACCAGTCTGCATAAAAAATATTTCAAATGCTCTCACCATCCAGGGACAGCCAGTCATGCTGAGAAGACGGGAGGGCAGGAAGGTCACGCGCTTTATATTCAAACACCACAGAGGAAGAGATAATTTCACCACCCATGGCCACCTGTAGCATCACCAGTCCAGTGTCATGGGCTGAAAACAGACATGATAATATACATGAGGCAGGAAGTGAAGAGAAAGATCTCACTCACACAGATTAAAATGTAAATTCGTCAAATACTTCTCCTCCTTTCCTTTCACATTATTATGACTCGAATTACACAAAGTCTGAAGAGGGTGCGGCTAGTGTTTACTTCAGAACAATAGAACCTATCAGTCACTCTGACTGCACGCCTCAAAATTATCTTGTTGTCCTACTAAATGTTTGGCTTATACAACCTGTCTCTCTAGTTCTGCATGGACAAAGCTGCTCCATTTGATCTCTTTAAATGTTGTGGTGCTACAAGCTGTTTGCTAGTAGCTATCAAAGTGTTTGTTTGTAGCGTTGCTTATTGATGGAGACAACAATGTAAACAAACACTAAACAAACGTGACTTTTGTTCAAATGGAGAATGAGGACCAGACAACTTCATCCACCAGCTTGGACAGATATTCAACCACAACATTCTACTTCACCACTAGATGTAACAAAAACCAATAAATTTACCTTTTTTTAAAAAGTTGTTTGCCCTGTGTGACCCAGTGTGTGTGTGTGTCAGTGTGAGAGAACTGGTGTGTTACCTGGGCAGTAGCAACGCAGCACCCCAGGCTGAATGAGGGCAGCAGGGACACTGATGTGGTCAAAGAGACAGCTGTACTCGCTGCTGGACTCCAACCATGGACCTGTGATCAGGACTTTAACTCCACCCTGCAGCACAAAGGAACAGCCTCAGTCTTTCATCTGAGTTTTCTCCATTAAAACTTTGAAACCCAAAGAGCATGTTTCAATAAGCACTAATGAGCCGGGGTAAAAATGAACTCCTCTGAAGAAAACTTTGTCTGAATTTAGGTCTGCATAATGCTTGCAACTAATGTCTCTCCCTGTGTGTGTTTGTGTGTGTGTGTGTGTGTCTTCACAGGATGTCTTTCCATTTGTCAGGCAAAAGACACCTCAGAGACATGTGGCCTAAAAATGGAAGCATTGATTTCTCTTATATAACGTTGAAGTGACAGACATTATAACTTGCCTCATTTGTGAAGTAATTGCCATTTTTATGACACAGCCACAAATCTAAAAGGCCCGTTAGCAGCCCCTAGAGGCTCTGCTGCGCTTTACATCCAAATGGAACAAAGTTGGTATGAAACAGCCAAAAGACACTGAGCAGCTAAAAATACGACAGATATTGTCAAACACAAATATTGGTTTGATGAACACAACAATGAACACGGGGAGAGAGATTTGGTTTGGAACATTATATAGGTACCATTGTCAGTTTGTTAAAAATAATTTATTTTACCTTGTGAACTTTCAGATTGGAAAGCAAGATTTAAAAAGAAAAACTACAAAGGGAATTTACAAAAATAGGTTGGTATAAATTAGAAAATTTAATCAAAATACTTTAGATTTAAAGATTAATTACTAAAAACTTAGCATAAACATTATTTGTTTTCTAAATATATTCATGCATTACATTTGAAAAGGTCAAATCATCTTCCCTTCATTAATTCTCATGTTGTTTCTAAACTTGTTTCAATGTTTTAACTGTGGTACTGCATAAATTGATGAGCTGCTCAACAGATAAAACCACAAGATCTGTTGCCCAGTAAATAAGGATTTAAGGGAAAAGGCTACTGTTTTTTTATTGTTCTTGTGCGTGCTAACTTTTAGGGAAATAGTGCTCGTGTACTTGTGCTAATGTTAGTGGAAATGGTTAGTTATTAAATAGTTATTTGATGGCTGTTAGACGCCATGTTTCAAACATCTAATCACAATTCAATGAATGAACCGGTGTCATTGAGTTGTTCTAAGTGGTACATTGGCACATTAATGATGCCACCCAGGGGAAGCAGTGTAATACTGGAATGTCATCAAAATCCAATCAGCTGAGCCAAAGATATTCCAACTCCTTAATGACACTCGGCCAAGCTGGCGGTCCTCGCAGAAATTGTGCTGAAGTTGATTTCAGCTTTTAACAACGGCATGAGTCCTCATCAATCATGTGGTCGAAAAACTAATTTTATGTTAGGGAGCGATGAATAAGTAATGAAGGAATGTGTTGAGTTTACTCACCTCGGGATAAGACCACTCTGGAGAGTAGTCTGTCACACCAAACAGCCTCCCAGTCTCCTGAAGGAGTCCCAGAGCTCCCTGCTCCACCTCTGATCCCGGCAGGTGACCCGCTCCTGCTCCCTGCTCGTCCCCTGGTGTGCCCTCTTGGGGCATCAGAACCCCCGTCACGGCCGCTGCCACCCCACCTCCAGAACCCTCAACCGAGATGAAATCGTTGATGAGATCAGAGAACTGGCTTCCAAAAGAAGCCTCGAAACCCTCCAGGCTGATGGCCGATCCTGCCCCAGCGGCTGCAGCTGACACGCCGCCACCTTGCTGAGGTAGAGGAGAGGTGTAGAGCGCCCCCTCCATGCTTGTGCCACCAGCTATTGACTGCGGACTGGCAACCACCGAGGAGCCCCCGGCCCCTGGTAAAGACACACCATTACAGAGAATTTCATGTTCTCCTCCCCCTCCACCACCTCCTGCCCCTCCAGCACCCTCCTCCCCTCCCCTACTTTCGTCTGTAGTTTGCAGATAGTGCTCGGTGTCCACACTTGCATAGGCGTCATGAGGATCCGCCGCCTTGAGCAGTAAATCCCCTCCGTTCTCAGCTTTCTCCAAGACCCCCACCTCTCGATGTCCACTGCTGCCTGACTGGTCAATGGTGGTGTCCGGTGTGGACAGAGGAAAAGACCCCACTGCTGGCCCCTGCCCACTGCGTCCACAAAGAGCCTGTTGGTCTGGGTTGGCTTGGTGGAGTTGTGTATGTGGATCTCCGTTGGTGACTGTGGAGTCCGTGGGCACAGAGGGCAGACCAATGTACGTCTGGCCCTCCGCTGAGTCCTGTGTTCCCTCAGTGCCATTGGTCTGCAGCTGGGAGGGCTGGCCTGCCTGCGGTGATGCCTGGAGGAAGAGGCTCGTGGAGGGGTGGTGTGTGGTCTGGCTCAGACTCGGCACACAGGCAGATGACATGACAGCACTGAAGTCCATTTGCTCCAGGGTGGTGCTGGGGCTGAGGCCCGTTCCCTCTCCCACATAGCTGTTCTGGTTGGTCAGTGGCTGCTCCAGGGGCGCCTCTGTCTTGATGTTGTTGACGAGGGCTGGGTTGTAGACAAAGCCGTTAGAAGAACAGTGGAGTCCTCCGTCATCACCGTTACACCCTTCGGTCTTCCCTCCGCCCCCTCCGTACGTCTGCCCCTGCTTGGGGTTGTTGAGGAAGCAATCTGGATCAAAGGTCATGGTGGTTTCAGGGAGGCTGACTGCTCCTCCAGTGTCCAGAGAGCTGGACAGAACCAACTCTCCCCCCTCCCCTAAGCCAACTCCTCCAGAAAATGATGCAAACCTCTGGTTTTCAGGGGCAACAGCTAATAAAATGCCTGCGGTGGTGCCCTCGTGGGTTGAGGCCAGAAGGTGAGTGTGGCCAGCAGAGTAAACGGAATCCCCAGTCAGTGTGGTGACCTCTGACATAAAGACAGCTGTGCTCTGTGACAGGCCAGCTCCGATGGAGAGAGCTGGGCTGTCAGCCATGTCACTGGTGATTGACAGGGGAGAGCTCTGGGTGGTGTCAGGCACCTCCACCTGGTTGTTAGAAGTAGAGGACGACACCTCCATGCTGCTCTGTGGGAGCAGCGAGGGTTTGGTGATTCTGCCGTTCCTCCTCTCTCCTCCGCCCACTCTGCTCCTGCCTCCTCCAGGACTGGGATCTGTCTGACCCTCTGACACATCACTGTTCTGGACCTCTGTGCCATCTGCCTCCTCATGCCTCTGGCCTGCTGCTATCCCAGTACCCACTGCAGGTGCACCTCCTGCTGTCCCTGACTCCTGCTTGGATGAGATGATGCGCTGCTTGACACTGGAACATTTTTGATGCAGGCTGCTTCCAGCACCTGGCAGGAGGCACCGGAGAGAAAAATAACTTTTAATAAAAACACACACACTAGCCCTAAAGTGTTTTATTGACCGTAGTAAAAGCTATGGTCTTTTCATTGTTTATGGAAACATCTTTGCCTTTGACTCTTTATTCATGAGGTGTTTATCTAACCATTACCTGTGGGCGTGTACCAACTATATGTAGAAAAGCACTTAATGTGATGTTTATTTACCGTCTAGCGTTTTTAAATAAGAATACAACTTTGTGCAACTGGTCACCTTTATCTCTTTTAAAGAAACACTTTAAAACTGCATTTACTTCTTTAAAGTGTAACAGAACTTTACGATACAGGATATAATCAAAATTAAATACTACTACCCCCATAAAGCTAAAGTCTAAACTCCAATTTGCTGCATGATATTTACTATATTTGTTGCAAACTGACAATTCACTTTTTTAAAGTGGTGATATTTAATTTAACTACTTGCAGAACTTAAATGTGTAAATAAATTAATTAAAATCCTCTATTTAGCATTTTATTCTTTATTCTTCTATTCTGAAGTTTTACTTATTCAAAAAACTCCTTCCTGGTTTGTTTACAGCAAACCAATTTTAAGTGTCATGTGATGTGATTAATAATGCAATAATCATCATTTCATAGGAGGAGCCACATATAAATATATATAAATAAAAACATGTGTCATACTGTCCTCAAAACTCCTACTGGAAAAGAACAATATAAGATAAAATAAATACATTTAGAAAAAGGAACCAGGTATAACATTAAAGCTATTAAATATATATTATATAAATCTATTCCCTTATACCCACTTGACAGCGTGCAAGGACGCCCCCCAGTGCTCGGTATCTTAAGTACAAAATAGAATGCATAAATATTAGCTCCCAATAGTGTCAAACGCACCAGTTACGTGTTAAATACAGCTTTTAATATTTAAACTTGTATTAAGTCATTTCTTTTCAACAATCAGATATCTTAATTTACATTTTCAGGATTTTTTTTTTTGATAAAAATGAAACACATGAGGCCGTTTAAGCATCACGTCCATAAATTCTACAGAGAAAAGCAGGTCAGTGATCAAGAGCCAAGAGACAGGAGAGTGAAAGGCATGAATAAAAATGATTTTATGTAAATGGCATTGGACAGACACAGAAGTAAGAGAGGATGTGAAACTTAAGTAGTGGAGATTGAAGTAGTACTTAAGTGGGGGGAGAAAATATTTAGGTTTTGGACATCTGTCCTTGTGTGTACTTTCAAACCAGATCAAAAGAGGGCAGAGATTAGGTGAGTCTTTGGGCCTGTGTGTGCTGGTGTGAGTACTGGAGTTATCAACTCCCTGATGCACATCTATGAATAATACATGAAGGATATTTCAGGCTGTCTTCCTTCTCTGTTTTCTTCCCTTGTGTGTTTAAAATGTTCTTCTGCCCCTAGGTGGCAGCAAAGCGCTGACTGATCTGAAAAGCTTTTCACCTGAGCAAAAGTATGACTAAAGAGTATATATGTAAATAATGGCTGTCTTGTCTTTCTGCCTTTTCTATTTTTTTCTTCTTCTAGTGAACAGGGCTTATCTTGGAAAGTATTACTGCTTAGTCAAATGTTGTTATCACCTTATATGCAAGGACACAATGTTCCCGGACTTCTTTCATCAAAATTTAAATGAGATTACGGCCACTGGTAATGTCTGAACGCACATTTTGGCAAGGCGCACACTTTTGGGGTAATCGATTCAATTTTGCCTCCAGTAACGTGTCAATTCAACATCTGAGCCAAATTATTAACGCACACACACGATTAGATATTCCTCTTTTCATGCACAGGAGACGTTTTCATATTGTTTCCTCTGGATTGTCGTAAGCACCTGTTGTTTCATCTAATAAGTGATGGCACAGCTCCAGACTGAGATCCTTTCGGCTGCCAAGTTGTTTCAAAAGCATAAAAACAAGCCAGTGAATCAGAGTCTGCGTTTGAGATTTACTACCCCGGTTTCCTACAGATTAATTTTGAAGCTTGGCTGGTGTGGGTCATCATCTTTTTCATCACTATTGTACCATGACAAGCCATACTGTTATTGAGCCAAGGTGAGTCATATCCTCAGGTTTGGGGAAAGTGTGACGACGGAAATATAAAAGCTGGAGAGTGGGAGGCAGGTGAGCGCCGGTGTGACAGTGAAGTCAACTCACACATGGGTTTGAGTTGCCCGATGAGCTCCTCTTTGCTCCACTTGGCCCACTCCTTCCTGTCTGTGTTGATGGAGCAGAGGACAGGACCACATGGCTTCCCACTATCATCAACCGCTGGCACGTTCAGGTAGTGCACCAGCACAATGTCCGGGTTCTGCGGCAACAAGACATGCAGAGAAAACCAAGCAGAGACATGCAAACATGAGACATTAGTTTCACCATTAACCCTTCATTCAGTCATTCAGAGACTTGTTCATTCAGCACACAGTGAGGGAATTACATGGACAGGTCTATTTACACAGGAAGAAGGAGAACGAGAGCAGGGGAGAGTGTAGAGGTCAGGGAGGATTCTCACACCTCCCCATAAAAGATTTAATAGTTCAAGTCCACTCATCACTCACTGTAACCCTGCAGATGCTGCGGAAGTGTCTACATGTGTGTGTATTTCTGTGTGTGTGTGTGTTTTTGTTTATGTGCAGGGAGGAGGAGAGCAGCATACTGCAGGCCACCAGCAGACCTATGGAATTTCGACTGCATGAATGATTCAACAGGTATGTGTGTGTGCGCGTGCGAGGGCGTTTGCGTGCAGAGGGGTGTTTATGTGTGTGTAATAGAAAGAGAGAGAGGGGGGGAGGAAGAGAGAAGCAAAAGAGAGACGCTCCTCTTGATGAAAGATTCAGGAGACAGACTCAGGTGAGGGGGAGGACCTGCTGAGGTGGAACACTTTTCTTTCCAAAAAAGGACGACACAGTGGGCTGCTACAGCACCACGGCGTGCAGAGTAACAGCACTCACAGACTGATTTGCGATCATATCCACTGATGTGTTTTGATACATGTGCAAAGAGCAGAAAATAGCACATTGCAGGTATAGCAGAAATGTTCCTTTGTATTTTCAGACCGCAGGATCGCTTTGGCAAACTGAACCCAAAACACAAATCTATTTCTGAAATCAGCCTGGTAAAGAATATAATGTTCAACTTATATACAAATGTACACTTCCATCCCACTCTGAAAAGGTTGGGACAGAGAGAAGATCACTACAGCAGCAGCTTTATTTTTTCTTGTAATTATTTACTTTATTCATCGGGGGCCTGAGGGTACTTATTGCTGCATTTGTGGCAATTGTGGCAACTCCCCCTCCTCCCTGTTCTTGAGGCTTAAAGACTTCAGCTGTTCATCAGTCTGCGGTCACTTCTGTGTAATTCTTCTCTTCACATTTCATCAAGCATTTTTGAAACTGAGGCCCACATTCTTTTAAGCTTGAGCAGAACAAGGCTCTGGTATTGTTCAGCTTGAGTTTCCATGAAAATATAAACCGTTTATATGTTGTTGTTTTTTTTTTAATCGAATCACTAAGTTACTCATATCCACCCATACTTTAACATATGGTGTTATTTGCAGATTTCATCAACAGCAGTTTGGATGGTCCTTAGAATCTGATCTTGTTTTTTCAAATAAAGGTAGAAATGGACTAAAATGACCAGACAGTAAATTTTCTTTTTCTTTTATTCCAGATGACCTTGAGCCTGGAGAACTTAATGTTCTGCATTGTATTTGCATTGAGTGGCGATGGACGCCAGGCGCTGACCTGACTTTTGTGACTAGGCTGGAAGGTTATACACATTGAGCAGACGTTCTCCTGATACCACGAAGTCCTTTAATTATTAACTGTAAATGAGAAAAAGGTCTGAAAGTGGTCAGATGCCACTCACCTTCACCTGCTCTAATAACCACAGGCTACCTGGTGACCTGCTAGTATTAAAAAAAACTCTCAATGTAAAGTTATGTCAAGTAATGTCCCATTAATTGTACGACCTTTTCAGATTTATCTCGCCACGACTCAATTTTCTGGGAGTGTGTGGCTGGCATTTCTTTTTAACACTTAAAAATAATTTTTGAGTTAATTACGGTATACCAAACCAGAGCAGTTTCTTATATTTCATTTAAAAAAGGTTTACCAGCTTTTTCCGGAAGAAATGTGTAATTTGGCAGGCTGCAAAGATGAATACATGGAGTGAGGGCATATTTAATTTTCAGTGGCTGACTGGAATGCCCTTGCAAGTTTCATGTGACAAATTATTCAGAGGGTTCTATTCAGAAATGCATAAGTACATGTGCATTTCCATCCTGAAAATGAACATAGTTAGGTATTCATTTTTGTGTGTGTGTGTGAAATGAACGGGGGAGCGATAAAAAACAGCCGAATGTAAAATATGCAAATACGCTTAAAATTCATCATGTAACCTGTCACCTCAACATGATGAGATTCTCTTGACCCTAACTTGCATGGACAATAGCGAGAGATCTGGAGTGTGGGCAAATTCATACACACCTGCTGTACACGTATGTGTGTGTGCGTGTGTGTGCAGGAGAGCTCACAGCTCCTGCTCTCTGTTGTCTCTCACATGAGCAGCAGAGTGCGTCCTACATCTCAATAAAAAAAACAACACGCCTTCTTACCTGTCCTGCACGTGCACGCGTACGTGTGTTTGCCTATGTGGGTGCACGTGCTTGTAGAATTGTTATGTGCTGTTTGTAGCTCCAGGGTGTTTCCTTCGAAAGGTCCACCTGGAGTAAAACCCCAGTGTTTGATGCTCACTATAAGTATGGAGAGTGAGTGTTGGATAACAGCAGCTACAGTTATCTTCAGGCTAAGGAATTCTGTGCACTGCACTGTATGTGAGCATTGTACAAAGTGTGCTTCTGTGTGGGACACTCAGCTCAGCCACAGAACATCAAGTTTTATTAAGAGCCCAGCTCTGGGACAGTATTTTCACTATAGTCTGCATCATTAATTTAGAAGAGGAGGATGTTTATTGCAGGTTTATGGTTTAGCTTAATGTTTAATGTTGTGAAAAAAAAATTATTGGAAACTTTATAACATTTTTCGTGTGATATACAATAGATTTTCTGCTTGTCCACTTTTGTGTAAAATGTTGAGTAAACACTGCTAGAGTTGAGTGTGACAGAACATAGACGACGTCAAGAGGAAAATGACCAAAAATGAAAAAAATAAATTAAAAAAAATCACCTCATTTGTGTTTTGTATTTTTTTTTCCTGTATGAATGTGTGAGAAAAGGTAAGGTAGGGTAGACGGGGTGGGCTTACCTGCAGCAGCCAATAGCATCTACGATGGAAGGTGGGGATGATGGAGGAGTGGACGTAGCAGCCATACAGACACTAGAGAGAGGAGAGAAAAGGGGAAGGGGGAGGGAAAAGGGAGAAGAGTGTATGGGTAAATAAGACAACCAAAGGAGTAGAAGGGAAGACAAAAGTGAAAAAAAAAATACAGGAAGGGAGGAGGAGAGAATAGTGAAGGAGAGAACAGGAGAGGAGAGCGTAGGTTATACCCACTTAGGTTGTATTGATTGCGGTGCTAAAACTAAATTGCAAACATGCTGTATGCCTTTTTTCCTAATGTCTTTTCTAAAATACCATAAATTTGACGTTGACAATTACAGCAGGAAAGACTGTGAAATTTACTGCCACAGCAACTGCACGGTGTAACGCACTCAGAATCCACAAAAAGTCACCATGTTGCTCAGCCTTACTTACAGACACCGTAAGAGAGATTAGAAACAGTGGCGAGGGAGAGAATCATCCAGATGAAAATGCAGTGTGAGGACGGACAGAGACGGACAACGGAGGCAGATTGTTGCTGCACCAAACATAAAAACAGTGGACAGTCAGTGTAGGAGGAGAAACAGAATGATTTCTTTTTTTTAACATATGCTTTGGAGTAGTTTGTATTCAGTGTGGAAGAACTTAGTTTTTAGAAGTATTTTAATTGGTATAAACTGGTGTTTTTGAATGAGTGGTTAAAACTAATTAAAATGTAATGCTGAAGGGCCGTTTTCCTATAACTAATTAAGAATGTTCTCAAAGGCATCAGTGCGAAACAATAGCACAAAGTCCTTGCTGCTCTGATTTCCAGGCCTTTACTTTGCTCTCTCGAAAATACTGACCAAAATGTTGGATTCAAATGTGCAACTGTTGAACCACATTTCACACGTGAACCGACGCGTTTCTACAGATTTTGGAGAAACGACGATCAAAGATGTGTTTACAGAGTAAAGAGTCATGAAAATGTTCACTAAACACAAACATATACAAACTCAATTTTCAGAATTGTATGACACAGTGTAAAAATACAATAAAAAACCACATCCAATCATTTGGTAAAGCCAGTGCAGTCCTATTTATATTTATTTCAGAAACACTTCATAAAGGCTGAGTCAAATCCTTCATTTATTGTCACTTGGAAAATGAGGATACCAATTATTTTTGGTTTTGCAATTATTTTTTAATTTTTTGCTGTATCAATGAGGATGCTCATTCTGTTGTCTCTGATTTGTCATGATTTTAAATAGAAACGTCTCTCTGTGCTGCTCTCTTTGGATTAGTCCAACGGGGCAATTTCTGACCCAGAGATGAACTTTTTTTTTAAGCTACAAATATTTCCAAATGTTCTACAAGTCCATGTGTCTGTGTCTATCAGTGTACTATTTTAATTACTAGTGCAGTGCTGCCTATGAACTTGACTGTCATGCACATTTATCAGCAGTTTCCGCTTTTGCAATCTATGCAAAGAAATGTCTTTCTGACCCAGAATCTATAATTAACAGACACATTTCAATCAGCGTCTGAGCGTCTCATTTTTACTTTTTAGTCTCACATTGACAAAAAAAACTTTTCAGTGAAAAAGCTACAATTAAAATGTTAAATATAAATGTTTAATTAAGATTTAGGTTAACGCCCACACAACAGACTTCAACGTGATAGGAATTTTACCAATTTTTTTGTGGAAATTGAGTTTGTCAATTGAATGCTTAAAGAAATCCTTCATCGCCCACGCAAACACAAATAATCGGCAATCAGCCTGTACGAAACCACCCTCCTCTCGTCTTTCTAGTACACACGCTGGCACACACTTATAGTTTGTTGCTGTTTTGTCTCTTCTCAGAAGTGGCCCGCCCTCTATCTAAAGTGTGTTTTGCCAAAGGCAGAGTGCATTTCCATATATTTCCATTTGATATGAGGAGGCTTGCCCATCCAGGGTTATGTTTTTCTCCCCCTGTTTCCTGTCCCCCCCCCCCCCTCCCCCCCCCCGCACCCCCCCCGCTCTTTTTTCCCCCCTCTTTTCCCCCCTCCC